TAACGACAGCCACATGGCGAGTTTCATTTTTCTTCCCGCCAACAACGCGCCTCTTGCATTTGTTTACCGAACTAATTTTGTGGTCAAGGCTATCCTATTGAGTTGTCATGGGGGTGTAGTGATGCTTGTGAAGTTTTGGGTATATCGATACCAAAAACTATTTGTCGATACTTCATGAGATTTACGATCACAACCCTACTTTTATGTTTACTATACGAATTACGTTTCTGTTGTACCAGCTAGAACAGGACTAATGAAATTCATGATAATTCTTTGATATCATTTGCATAAAATAGTCTAAAATATGAATAGTACAAATCAATTACTTAGTTCTGATGATAGTGATGCTCCGATCCTTCGGGCACATTTAAAGCGAGTGAGTATAAACAAACAACTGTAATTTTCAAGGAATTGAAATTCAGCTAAAAAATCTGTGGAATCTCAATTTCAAATGCTCTATTCCTAACAGTAATTCTTTCATTTATTGATATTTCACAGAATTACTTTGAAACATGCAAAGTAGTTGAATATCCGTTGGTAATATTTGAGGATATCAGGTCCTGTTTTATAGAATCCCCTCAATTATGGAAAATCTCTGTAACGCCAACTTTTCTTGGTCTGTTTTTAGCAAAAATGCGGTTTTCGTCCATTTTTCACTGTTTGAAATTCACTACATTTCCCAAAAGATAACAAAGGGTGCATTTCATAGTTTGCACTCCTTGTACCGCCCACGAAACCGATGCTGCAAGAGCAAAAATCAACTTATAAGATTTTTATTCTACATTTGAAACTATAGCTAACTTATTAGAGTTTGCATCTTTAGTTATGCGAAATAGCAGCTGCAATCTACAGGCTACAGGTTGTCATTATTTATATCTTTATGGAAATAGCGGCGTTTTGTAACTTAAGTTTATTATCCGATTTTTCCGAAGTCCACATTGTTACCACCCTGTACAATGCATTTATATTTTGGTTCAATAGAATTATTAACGGATCTGGGGTGATTGGACAGACGTATTTTTTTATATCTTTAACTGCTTTTTTTTGCTTCTAGTGAATTTTAGATCACTTTAGATCAGATTTCAGATTAGTCTAGAACTACCACATGTAAAAGTTGAAGGAAATTTCGGAATTGTTTTTTCCGCAAAACGTTTTTTTACAGATTTATATTAATAAAAATGATTAATTTTTTTGCACAGGCTAAACCAGTTTCATATAAGGCAGAATTAACGTCAGATAGTGATAGCGAGCCAATCAAGTTTGTAAAAGTGAAAACTCCACAGGTAAATTGAAAGTGAAAATTAAAAGAATCATGCACCTTTAGACCGTTTTTACGCTTACTATTAACTTTTTTATATATTGTCAACAAATTTTAGACTGAAAAACTGCTTGGCGAGATTTCTCTTTTAACTAGCGATGAAGAGTTTATTCCGGAGCCGAGTAAGTTCAAGAAAAAACCGTTAAGTAAAACCAATACACGTGAAAAGGTTTGTTGAATTAAACAAAACTGCTTTAGTACAAAGGATTAATATGCCTGCTTGGCGTTGTCATTAATAACGAATATTTATATTTGTAGAGGATACATACTATTGAACTTATTACCAGCGATGAAGATATGGAGTCTGCAAATATTCCATCAAATACCGGAAAGGTAACTGAAAAATTTGAAAGTAAAATATTTTGCAATAATTCCTCTTTTAGAAAAGGAAATGTCTGAATTCTCATTTGGAAGTCACAAGTCCAACAAAGAAAGCAAAAAAAGATCGAGAAGCTAAACCACTTAGAAGCAAGACTTTAAGCAAAACTAGAAGAACCGCCGTTGCAACATCTCAAAGTTCAAAGACAGATAAAACTCTAAATAGTTCCGTTGACGACGTTTGTCCCACTTGGCAAGAGCCAGAACTTTTAGCAGAGAAAACTTTAATAGATGAAAGTGTTGCTCGAAATTTGATAAAACTATGGGAGGATGGTAATACTATACCATTTATTGCTAGGTATGTTTATGCTAACTATTGCTTAATGTTTATTTACAATCATTTAAAAATGTATAGTTTTTAATTATATTTGGTAACATTTTAGATATCGAAGAAATGTAATTGGTGATATGACGGCGGAAAATCTAAGGGCAATAAAGGAGGATTACGTCGAAATTTGCGAATTGAAAAAGAAAATTTGCACGGTTGCAAAAGCAGTGGCGCAGAATGGAAAGTTGGATCTGAAAATTCAACAAAATATTTGTGCGTCTAGAACTATCGAAGAATTGGAACATATTGTAAGATACATGTGATTTGTAATAAGTATTAAGTTTTTAATCTATTATTTGATTCGGTTTTAGTATGCTCCGTTTAAACCGGGTAAAAAACAATCATTGGTAGAACGAGCAAAAAAATGCGGTTTGGAGGAGCCAGCATTACATTTATTGAATAACACGGGCATGATTTTTTTTGCTGATTATAAGAAACCTGGCGTAGATGGCATAAAAACCGAGGAGGATGTAAAAAAAGGAATCATACAAATTTTAGCTTTTGAAATAGGTAGAGACCCGGAATTGTTGTTGTTCTTGCGCAATTTGTAAGTAAAGTTCAGGATCTTGTTGTTTTTGTCTTGCTAAACGGTTATTGGTAGGCGAGGAACATCGACGTTTAAACTGAGGACAACAAAGGCCCGATCTACACAGAAAAACCAAAGTACTGTCGCGAACAAAATAGGAAAAAAAGATCCTAAGACAGAGGAGGCCAAGTTTCAAATATACTTTGATTTTAGCAATAGGGTTGACGCTTTGAAATCTCACCAGGTAAACATGATAATAGAAAATATAGGATTCTTAGAGAATATAGTATATATTCGAATAAAATTTGGGGTTATTTAGAAAAAATAAAGTTTGGTGCAGAGAAATACTAGAACGCGATTCTAACTGGTCATTTATTAATAAAAATTTCAATATTCCAAAATGGAGATTCGACCCTCAAGTTGAAATATTTAAATAGCTTTCTCCGAGTTTGTTGCTTGATTTTCCTATTTTACGTAAACTTTTTTTTCATGCAAACTTTTGTTGACATTTAAAACTGTCTGATAAAGAAAAATGGAATTTGAAAAAAAATTGTGATTAAAGATCGATATTTTGTGAATCGTCAGGAATGTTATGTTATATTATTGGTCTTGTAAAGACTTGTAAAATATGTAATTCCCAATTATAAGAAGTAAATTTCTGATAACGCTAATTTACGTTCTAATGGCGTATTTTCTTTGTTTCTCAGACATAATGTCCCCGTGTTATGTCTAATAGGCTAACGTCTAATGACTAAAATTGTTAAGCTCAGTGGGGTCCTCTAGGACAATGTGGCAAATATTTTAAACAAATAACTGTTAGCTACTGTTTAAAATTTATCAAGTTGTCTCGGATTGGGCATCTTTTGGAGCAACGTTTGTGTCTGTTCACATTCTTTCGTATTTTGCTTTATCTTCGAGATAAAATATAAAAACTTCTGTTGCATGTCCCTGGGACAAAGTAATGAATCATTAAAACTACTATACCATTTAGGAATTAAAATTACAAAGAAGTCATTTACCTATTCATTATTTTCGTACATTAAAACTGCTGTCGTTTATACAAATGAACATAAATCTGTTTTTGCATAACTTTTTTGTTAAATTTAACATCCTAGGACTCCCATCTTTTACAAAAATGACATGATACCCGATTTATTTGAAGTTTAGAGTTTTGAATGGCGTACCAAAATGTTCAAATTCTACAATTAACGTGGAAAACATAAATTTATAAATATTTATTTGTTTTAGATTTTAGCTATTAATCGAGGAGAATCTTTAAAAATTCTAACCGTCAAAATTGAGATTCCTAGTTATTTTCAAAACCAGTTTAAAATTTTCTGCACTAACAAATGGACAAATAAATCTCAATATGACCAGAGAAGACAAGACATTATTAATTTGGCAATTGATGATGCGTTTGGACGAATAAGTATGTAATCCGTTTATGTATGTTGTTTCGAATTATGTATGCTACTATTTGTCGAATCATCGGTAGAAATTAACAAATTTTTTATTAATAAACTTAATTCCAAGTATTTATAATTACTTAAACACGAGAGTTTAATTTGATTAATTTTTTACAATAATTAAAATGCGTTAAAAAAATTAAAACACAAAATAAATTTAATTTTTATACCTAATAAACTAATAGGTAAATGGTTTGCATTTAATTGAAGAATTGGTTTTCCAACTCGAAATTTGATATGAGTGGTTGACAAATGGCCAGCTTATAAAGGTTTTCTAAAGTAGTTTATCTTCCTTTATAGTTACTCCATTGATTTCTCGAGAAATACGTGCTGAATTGAAGCTAAAAGCCGAGAAAGAATCATGTAAAGTGTTCAGTGATAATTTGAAACATTTATTATTAACACGCCCCATGAAAGGAAAACCAATTATGGGAATAGATCCAGGTTACACTCATGGGTGTAAGGTGGCCCTTATCTCAGCGACTGGGAATCTACTAGATCACAGCGTAATTTATCCGCATACTTTTAAAAATGGCAGTTCTAGAGGCGAAGACGTGATCAAGAAATTATTGCTTCAATATGGGTAAATGTACTTATTATTGTCCTGACGTTATAGTGAGCAATCAGGCAGCCTAAGATATATATATATCTCGAAATATTTCTCACATGTTTTTGGTGATTTTGTTCCCTATTCTCTGTGAGCGATCTGCAACGTTTATAAATATTCATGCAGACAATATTCTGAAATATTGGTTACTCAACTAAACGAGAATGTTCCACCTACTTAAAATTGTTTTGGTGGTTCGTTATTGTCTGATTTACTCTCTGGATCTCTGCCTTCATTATACTGGGGCCTCTATCTATCACAGGTCGTGTGTGTGCTGTTTCCTCGTTTGACATCGTCGAAGAGGTCAGTTACGTACCTCTTTCCATTCTCTGCATTGTTGTTCCTGATCAAGGAATTTTCCGCCCGATATTTTAAGTAGGTTGGCATGTTTTGGTTTTTGATTCCGGAGGTATATTTCAGTTTTTTATGAAGATTGAAGCTGTCGTGTTTTTCAGGAGATCTTTAATTTATTTGCCGAAGTTTTCAGGCTATAGTTCTTTTGGGTTGTTTAATTTTCTTTTTTATCGTTCTGTTGGTATCGCTGTAGCTGGTAATGTCTTTGTTTTTATATCCCCTTCGGGCTTCCATTAAATTCAGAATTCAACTTCAATGGTTTTGAGGAATCCTATGTTTGTTCTATCTATTCTAATCGGTCTTTGTATCTCATGCCAGTATTCATTGATGGTTCTATTATCACTTGGTGTTTCCTTTATTTTGTGGAATTCTGCGTTTATTTGTTGATATCAGTTCACGTGTTTCAGAGTTTCTGAGGGGGAGCAAGGCACATTCTGTTTGGTTTGTCTTTTTAAGTTCATTTGAGTTTTGGGGCATTTTTCCATTAAAAAAATATATATAAGATAATTTTTGCAAGAATTATTTTCTTTATAATGTAGCTATATTAATAGTTTGTTAAATAACTATTGAAATACTTCCAATAGTTTTCTAACTCTTCTTGATCTAAATTTAGATGTAACCTAATAGCGATAGGCAATGGAAGTGCGTGTCGTGAAACAGAGGAGTGGATTTCCGGTCTTATTAGTAGTCACTATTTCGGAAATTTGGATGTACAATATACTATTGTGAATGAAGATGGAGCATCTATTTACAGTTGCAGTACAGAAGCGCAGAAGGAATTTAGAGATCTAGATCCTAATATTATTAGCGCAGGTAACAATTAGTACTAGGTTTGAGTCAATGCATCGAAGAGAGCGAGATGCAACTCTATTTTTTTAAATAATTTTCTCTTTTTAGTATCTCTTGCGCGCAGAATTCAAGATCCTATGGCCGAACTAGTCAAAGTTGAACCGTGCCATTTAGGAGTAGGCATGTATCAGTTAGACATTAAGAAGAAACAGTTGCAAGATGCTCTAAGCGAAGTTGTTTCTGAATGTGTAAGTTTTGTTGGCGTGGACTTAAATACAGCATCTATGTGCTTATTGCGGTAAGTTAAACTCTAATTAATAATATCGTCATTTTTTCTCATGACATTTCGGTGTTTGTTACGATAAATATGGTAAATTCACATTTTTATAGAAGCTGAACAGTCTCAAACTTTTTAAAAAACTTTTTGTTTAACGTAGTTCATACTCTTACCTCTAATTATTTTACATATTAGTTGTAATACTCTCGTTTTTTAAACTGGTTGTATATATGTACCACAGTATACACTTATTTTTTACAGTCGTATTGCTGGCTTAACAGAAAATAAGGCCGTTCAAATAATCGACTACAGAGAAAGGTGCGGAGCCTTTACCCACCGAAAAGAATTGCTTAAAGTTTATGGAATTGGAGAGAGAGTCTTTGAGCAATGCGCTGGCTTCCTGAGAATAGGACCCACTGATCCGAGCTACAATAAGTTTTATGACAATAAATTGACCACACCATTGGACGCAACGATCATACATCCGGAATCGTACCCTTTGGTTCGCAGTTTAATAGGTACTTTCTTAAATAATATGTGTGTAGGATTAAATAATATATTTGGAAAAACATTGCTAGAAATGTAAGTTTTATTTTGGAAAACACAATTATGTATATGTACTTGAATACCTCGACAAGATTCAGTCGAGCTACTTAAAAATATATTTAACACCCTTTGCTTTATATGTAGATATTTTGACGATTTTTGCATTATTCCATTCGTAAAATCACAAATGATTTTCAAACTAAAATATAATTGATAGACGTTATCAATCCACGATTTGAGCAAATAGTAACAATCGATAAATACCTTATAGTTAAAATATCTATAAAAAAATCGTTGCCATTATCGTTTTTATTAGTCTTCTAAATACCTACAAAACTTTATTTTTTTTATGGTTGTTAAAAGCCAGTAACTAAGTATGCGACTTTTACAGTTTCATTATCCTAAAAGTTTTCTTCAAGTTTTTTTCGCCAAGGCCGAGTAGTACATAAAAAGTCAGTATTTTCGCGATTTGAATGGAGATATATATAATCTAGTTACGTATTAGTACAGACGCCATTGGCAGAACTACTAGAAATATTTTACGTATCAAGTTCATTTGATAACTCTAGTCGTTACCGACCTCTACTAAAGATTTTGTTACCAAACTGTAAACTCGGTATTTGTGTAATAAAGCATTCTTGGCTGCTTTCATATACTTTATGAAGCAATATTATTTTTCGATGTTCCAGTTTCTGCTTTGTCACTGGTCCTCCATATAATTGAGGCGGTGCAGTGATCTTTTTCGGGTGATATATTTAGAGTTCTGTATTCTAAATTACTGATTTTTGAGTTATTTTTTTACTTTTATTTCTGTAATTAAAGTCAAATCGACTTTATATCCATGACTAGCTTATTATAAAACGCTCTATACTTTATCGCTGCTCAACTAATGTCTGCTTTATCTTTTAGGAGAATTGGGACTGAAAGAGAAACAAATAGGTTCGGAGTACTTCATCAGATGCTTTAAGGCAAAATCACAAGGGTACGATATTCAGAAATTAGCTGAAAAATATAAATCTGATAAGGAAACAATGCACCTCATTTTCGATGCACTTAATAAGAGCTTAAGCCACGATTTCAGAACTGAAATGAGTAGAACGCCGTTATTTAAAAAGGACATTACTTCTTTGGAAAACCTGAAAATAAATTCAGTTTTGACGGGGCGAGTTAAAAACGTAACATCATTTGGGGCGTTTGTCGACATCGGAGTAGGTAAGAACGGATTAATTCATGAATCAAATATGAAAGGGCTGAATTTACATCTAGGGGATGTATTGGAAGTTCGAGTAAACAAACTTGACGTGGTCAAAGGTCATATTAATTTGGTAGTCTTAAATAAGTGCAGTTGAAAGGGTACATTGTGTAAACTTTTTTGTGTTCTAATTTGTTAATATTTTTCCTCCAGATTTATTAGGGCGGTTTTCTTCTAAAATATACATAATACAGCATAAATAAAATTTTCGTTTTCGTGGAAATGTTTTTTTCCTTCCATAAAAGAACTGTTATTTGAGTTTAGAAGCTTCGTTTATATATGTGTGGTGCCACTAAAACCGGAGTGTAAACCTAACGGGAATTTATTCCGTTTGGTTTAGACTATGATGTGTTTTTTTCAAAACCGCAACATTCAATTTTGTAACTGTTAATGAGGGAAAATTGGTAATATTTTTTGAAAGAATTCTGATGTACATGTCTATAATTTTATGAATAAAAATATGGATTACCCCAATTTTTGTAATATTGGAGCTGTTACGAAAATGTTAAATTATATATTTATTATATATCATAAGTTAGTCTGTATTTTTTGAGATGGCTGTTATTAAGTCGTTCATAAATATGTTGCAGATATCGTCGGCATACAATAGAAGCTGACTAAGTCCGCCGATAGTAGTTTTGAGTTATTAATCTTTTCATAATTTGCTTATGATTATAAAATCAATTATTTTATATCAGATTAGTTTATAATAATTTTTTTACACAATTTTGAAGTTTGTTCCTGGTAAATAAGATTACACATTGACATTGCAATCGAAAATACCAAAAATATATAAATATTCGACATGGTCGCTTTCGCTTGTATAACGACGATACGTATGCAGAGATGTACTTTTAAGGATATTTTTGTAATATATTGATCTTACAGATCGCAAATAGCGATGTCTCAGTGAGTTCCTGAACAATATTTATCTACCCTAGCACAAATATGCAGTCATTTAAAATGCGGCATCATTATTGCGGGAGTATTTAGCGAGTCTACATAAATTTTATGTATACTATTCTTTGTTTTTGCAATCAACGTAGTATAGTAATCTAAAATGTAAATAAATTGGTATTTACATGTTCGGAAGTCTCTGTCTGGAGAGCGACAAAAGGTGAAGAAAGACGAAATAGCTTTGTGGAATGTAACCGGCGATGGGGTTTAATACACTGAAAATGGCTCCTGAGAAAAGTATCCGTGTGTCATTCAAATGTATAAAACATATTAATTCTCGTGGAACGCCAAAAAAAAAACAATTAGAGGAGAAGTGATCGCATTTTAGTGATTTACGTTAAAAATAAGGCACCTTATGTAGAAAATCCAAGAAGTATGTAAGAAAATTATAATTAAGTAGTTTTGAAAATTTGTAATTTTTTATTCTTACTAAGAACATTTCTTAGTGGTGTTTATTTGAGAAATAGAAGTTTTTTTGTTTACCGCTTTTCACTCATTAAAGTTTGCAATTTTCTTATAAGAAAACAGACAATGCCATCTTATTTTCCCTTTGAAACACCTTTTTTACGGGCGGCCGGGGGTACGGGCGAAAATCAATACTTTGAGAATTTAGCAATAAATTGCAAATATTTGCGTTTTAGAATAGATAGCTTCTTAACAGTATAAAAAAACGGGCAAACTAACCCTAATACCTTCAAAATGTATCTAAGAAAAGAATCAATCCAAACCAAGATGTGAAAAATGCTCGATATTTTTTTACATCGCCGCGAAATCGGTATCATAAACATCGTCATGGCGTGGTTTGTTTTTTTTATGGAAAAATTGATTAATTTCGCATAAAATACCACCAAGAAATTTTCTTAGTGGTATCTATACAATGAGCAAATATGCAACTTCTAAATTACTACTATGGGAGCCGACGACATCATTTAATACATGTTTCTATCAGCTTATCAAAGTTTTAACTTAATTGCTTTGGAGTTCTTACTAATGAATTTCTATTGAAATTAGCAATTTCATTGGAGGGCACATGTTCCTATATCGATCAATCACGGTTTGCTAAGTGATCTAATTACCCCAATTAAACTTGAGCGGATTCCTAAATAAAGCGAATGTTTATCTAGATAAGTAATTAGTGCCAGCACGCTTTGTGAGGAGGTACGAGGGTGTATCAAATTTAAACGGAACTGATTTATTATTTAAATTGTTTCCTAATTGTGCAATATTTATAAAAACATATCATTTTTCTACAATACCTCCCGCCCTGAAAGTACATTTTTCTATGGGATTGCTCATGCATGGATTTTCTCATGCTCCAGCCACTGAAACACAAACTGACCTACTGGTTGATCTTCCTCAAAACGATAGACTACCAGCACTTCTTTCAGGTATACAAAAGTATAGAAGTCACAAGGTGACCAGTCTGGACTGTAAAGAGGATGTTCTAACTTTTCCCAGCCAAATTTGTCTAATTTCTTTCTTGCAGTGTTTGCTGATTGAGGCCATTGTTACCATGAAAAAAAAACATATTTGTCTGATTGCGTCTTTTTGTTCCTTCGATAGGAGAATTATGCGGCATATAGAAACGTGCAATGTTTTGATCGTGGGGAAAACCGAGAAAATCATTCTTGGGCTCCCGTTTACCACGTTTTTCCCACTCTATTTTAGGCAGTTTTGACTCAGAAGTGTAATCTTTGGTGTACCCAAGTTTTATTTTGATGGAATCGATCTAAAAAGTGCTGATAAACCTTAAGTCTATGTTGCTTATGCTTCTTCGGACAACAGAAACGGAACCGATCGTTACGTCCCAAGTGTGGCTCCGATTCTGGACTTATTCACACCTTCTGGAGCAAGCATTCTTTGTTTCGTGCAAATACGCACGTTCTTGACAAGGTGTTATCCGCGAATTGTAGGTCTAATCTCTGGCCACAAGCTTAATAATTATCTGTATTTTCACAGATACGCGCCATGGCTTTTCACTCATGTTTTTTTTTAATATTAAGCAGACCTGGCGGAATTCGAATCACTGCCATTTCCCCCTTACCCTCCCCAGCTACTTACAAAGCCACTTCGTCCAAATCTACAACCGGTTCGAATTTAAAACACAAATAATCAATTCAGTGTATATTTGAAATACTCGAATTTCGTACGTTTTTCCTTGAATTCTCAAGATTGGCAATATAACTTCCTTAAGGCCTACTGCACAGGCCTCCTGTTAGGTGAATCCGAATCGAAGGACCACCCCTTACTTAAAGATCCGACGAAATTACATCTAAATTTTATGGACCACGGCCTACAAGCCTGGAAAAACAATAATTTACCATTGAGTTCGGCCGTGAAAGCCTACATTCCTTGATGCATCAGAGAAGTTCATGTTTAAAAACAGTTAACTTTATGCAATAAATGCATATTTATTGTTTAGCATCTACATTTTTAATCATTATTATTAATCATACTAACATTGAGCAGCCGTGGATAAAATATATTTTAATTTCCTTTACCTCTCTAATATCTTTTCGGATATTTAAGAAACAATGAGTAGTTTAATTTATATTTCCGTGTTTGTATGTGATCAATTTACTCTAAGCTAAGTCCCTTTATTCAAGAATATTTTACAGATCTGGCATCATGAATGCTTGCGTTTTAGGCATCTGCGCAACGACTGCCCCCTGCTGGTCTTCAATCACAACACCTGAGAAGTAGTTAAATAAAATCAATTAAACAATAATAAATAAAGGTCTTAACAGACGATCTAAAAGCTAGTTTTAACATAAAAAACATCCCTGTTTCGCAAGATGACTGCTGCCGACGAAAGGGGAATATTTACAAAGTTAGAGGCCATTAAAGAGATAAGGTAGTAATGACTGTAATAAAAAATATACTTGTTTAGTAATGTTGATCTTTACTTGAACATTTTAAGATCAAAGACTATTCAATTAGAAAAACTAAAAGCCCGTTTAATATGTGAAGTAGAATCTCAGGAACAGGAAGAAAAATCTCTCACTGAATACAAACAAGAAATGGATCTTCTATTGCAAGAGAAAATGTCCCATGTAGAGGAATTGAGACAAATTCACGCCGACATCAATGCAGTACGTTTACTTGAGATATAATAATTTGTTAGATGGTTTTCAACGCGATAACCAGCAAAATCACAAAAGTTTTTATATTTTCACTTCAGTTTATATTTAATAACTGCATTTTTGATTTGATTTGTTGATTGATTGATTTTGTCAGTGATTTCCACTGCTATAATCTACTTTTTACACTATCGAATGTTTGTGAATATTTTCAGTAACAAAGAAGGTAATATTTTAACTGTAAAAATGATATACATGATGAGAACAACCTATTGAAGTGAAAACGGACATGGAAATTCTGTTTTACTGATGGATTTTAACAGCTTTATAGCAAAATAACTATGTAGTATTGGAAAACTTTTTTCTGCTAATTAGTTGCAAAAAGCGACAGCTTCCTTCACATTTTACATATACATACTTAATTATAAAGTATAAATTTATAATAATTATCCTCAATATCTTAAGTTATTTTCCCATGTTTTTGATTACCATGGCTTAAGAATGAAGAATCAAGTCTTAACGATATTTGGGCTCAGTTATACAAAAGCCATCCAACCCACAAAAGTATTTCTCGAAAAATTAGGAAAAATATGTTTCTACAGTAGGAATTTGATATCGATTAACATTGAAGTTGATATTGAATAGCATTTATACAAAACACTTTACTGTATGGTGTAAATCTTATCAACTGTATCATTAATTTTTCCAGTTTAAATGCTTTCAGTAAATTAGAAAATTGAAGTTATTTAATTATAAAGATGATTACTAACGCTTATAATAAGAACAAGGCTTATAAATGATTTTCAAAGCAAAAGTAGTATAAACTCAAGTTTGCTTGGCATAAAAATCTAGTGTGTATTGAAACAGTCTACATCTTGACTAATTAGCATTTCCATTTAGTTTTTGGGACCAATTGGTTTTCTTGCCTTTCTTATTTGTTTTACACAATGGCACCCACCTGATTTTCTTCATACTGACTTCGCGTGGGGTCATCAAAAGTGCTTTGTTAATTAAAAAATAAAAACGTCCACTTTTTGCAATCTTGATAAACTTATTCTTATACAGACTAAGACAATTCATTTTCTTTCGGTTCACTGACATGTTTCTATTTATTATATGTTTTTCTTCATTTGCTGCACAAAAAATGATTTCAATGGTATTTCAATTATGTAATCTGAAGACAACTATACAGTCTACTGAGTTGTTTGGTTGAAAACTGTGTTCTGAGTATAGAAACTTGACAGTAGGTTATTCAAAGTGGTAAGCTGAATGCAAAATATGTTATAATATTAAAGTGGTATTACAATGTCGGAATTCGGCCCTAAATATGATTGGCTCCATAGAATCGTACGTTTTACTTCTGGCGAAATTTTATTTTGAACGTGATTTGTTAAGCCGAACCAAGTTAGTGCGTGCGAAAGTTAACAGCTCATGATCACTTAATTGTCTGGTTTTAAACAATATCATCTGCTTCAGTTTTAGCACTATCAGCCTCAGTAAGGTGTTGCCGGTCTTTTGCACACGTTTTTTCGTTCGTATCTGTTTCTATTTTCAAATCGCATAAAATGCTAATATGTATCTGTTATAAGAGTTTTCGTTTGCAAATTAAAATTGGAAAAAGGGGAGAATAAAAAGTATTTGTTTTATTATGCAATTCTACTAAGGAGACACAGAATGTTTCTGTAAAACAGTCGTTCATGTTAAGGAATTAGTAATTTTAGTGCCCCGCTGTTTCATCCTTCAAAACACTGGGATATCAGTTGGATTATTTAGGCGAAATAAAAATTGGCTGGAACTTAATAGAGAATTTTTATTAGCTAATTCTCCGTAATTATTTTGCCTTGGTGCTTTCAGCAAAACTTGATACACGTAGTACTACCATTTTCTTAATTCGTTTAGTTCAATTCAGTAGAAATTGGATTTTAATTAAAAATTCATTAAATTGTTTCCAGTTTGCACCTTTTTTGGACTGGTATACTGAACGTGGAGCGATTTCTATGCCGTTCTACCTTTTCTATCAATTTTTCGATTATTACATCAGATTTGCAATCGTTATGATCAACACAAAAATATTTGCGTTCACTCACCGCCACCTGATGTTTATAAAAAATCATAGTTCGAAATCTCCTCTTTGCGCTAATAAGTATGTCGATCAATTATGGGAAATTTTGGTCAGTTGCAAACCTAATTCGGTGTGGAAATTAGTTCCATGTTTGCAAAATGATGTTGAGTATTGTAAACTTATTCAGTGTGTGTTGTTCGACGTTGTTGACTTCGATTTTTTTAGTTTACTGGTCTAGATCGTTTACACGACTCGAGTAACTAATTACATATTTTAAAACCAAAGTCACCAAAACATTAGCTTGAAGAGCCTGTTTTACCAGCCGAAAAGCACTGTTTTCTTGAAATCCAGACAACAAACACTAAATCAGGCGAAACTTTCAATAATTGTCATACTTTATTCATTACATTTTATTGTCTATGAGTTTTAGAAGACTTCCATCATCCTAGAAGGTACATTATTATTTTCTTAGATGGAGGGTGTTATAAAGCAAGCAGATGAAAGCAGACAGAGAGCTATGAATGCAACGTTGCGTCTGCATGAAGAGTACTTGCCATTGAAAAATGAAATCGATCGTCTAAGAAGGGACAATTTGGGTTTAGAAAGACTTCCAGACCTTCACGAAGAAGAGGGGTCAACAATAACACCGGAGTAATATGCTCTTCATTAATTGTACAAAGATATTACAATTAATGTTTTATATATTTTCAGGAAAGTTTCACAACTTTATAATTCTGCAAAAAGTCAGTCCCCGTCATCATATAGTAAAACTGCTGATTGGACCAGGCCTATTGCTCCATCAGATGGCTCATTAGGCTCTTTAGGACCGCCACTGCCACCTACTTTCTTGCCCCCTCCGAACCCATTAAGATTGGTAACTAATAAACCCGATCCCGGAAGATCTGGAGGTCTTGGCCCGTCTTCCCATTCTGGACCACCCACACCTACTTTCAGGTCGGAACTTCTGAGGTGCACCATTGAGATAATATTATTTTACAATCTTTAAAAAACATTTTTGCAACAGCGTTTTAACTGGCATCTATTAAATTCTGGGGTATTCATATCTTTTATCTTACAGACAACAGCCGCCACCTATGAAGTCTTGCCTTAGTTGTCATCAACAGATACACAGAAATGCCCCAATCTGTCCATTGTGTAAGGCCAAGTCCAGATCTCGTAATCCAAAGAAGCCCAAGAAAAAGGATCACTAAATTTAAACATATTTGAAATTAGAACCACTCTTTCGTTTCTTGCGAATTTACGTTATGTACTTCTGTCTACACTTCACGGCAATTGTCTTTCAGATACAATTTAAAAAGCGTGTGGCTATGTATGTATCTCTTTTGATTATGTCGATGTTCAAAGGGTAGGTAAGCTGTCTGATAATTAACCGGGCAAGATTTCCTCTTCGAAATTTATTCAATTTTATTACAATATAGTGTAATCTTCGTGGACAGACCTTTTATTAATTGTAGTTTGTGTGTGAGTCTCTCGAATATACATAGATAAATATTTTTAGTACGGTGTCGAAAACAGTGAACGATCCCCACTACAAAAGAAATTAATTCTTTGTAGTTTTATAAAATTCGGCGCGGAAATATAGTACCTATTAGCGCGCAACAAATGGTCTTTTAGACGCTATTGGCAGTTTGTTGTATTATTTATTAACACAAAACTATTATAATCAAAATTGGTTGAATTTTAAGTATTTAATTTCTATGCGCTAAGACCGGTACATAAATAAAAATTGTATATCACTGGAGTTTTTTTACATTCATTTTTCATGTGCGATACCATCATATTAATTTTATATGTAAAAGACACATTTCAGAAAAAAAATACATTAAAATTTTTCAGAGCGTCGAAGTTTTTCAACATTTTCCGCAAATTTAGACGAAATAAATGGAAACGAAAATAAGTTAATGTAAATATTAAGGTTTTAGCGATATAATTATACTGCAACTCTCTCTTCCTTTTAGCTTTTTCTGTACGATCCTCTGATATGACTGCATTAGACTTACCTTGGAGTAGTATAAAAAATGAGGGGTATCGGAAAAAATATCAATATGTAAAAGAACCAATGCCATAAAATCGTCAATTACCCGGAAATCGTGACGGTCGTCAAATTCTTAAAGGATCTAACTTTGTAAAAAGATGTGCTTAAAAACTAGGATTATTAAGCTCGTGTCCCATGTATCCGTGTATACGATGGTACGAAGATACGAAAGTGGCGAATGGTGCGAATTAATTAATCACAAAAGTGATGAACATAATTGATGGAAAAACTACCTAATATTTGAAGAAAATTTTGCTAATTTTATTGAGTGGGAACAAATAGAGTTCAATTTGGCGTACCAATTCAGGGTGATTCAAAATTGACGTCATTCCTCTAGGGTTGTTGTCGGGGGTAGGGCTGGATTAACGAAGAGGCTAGTAGGGGCTGTAGCCACGGCCCCAACATTGAAAGGAAAAAAATATATTACCGCCTATACATAATTTGATTTTGCATATGTTCGCGAGAATAAATTATAAAAATAATTATCACAGTTTTCATTTATATTCAAAAAATTATTTCTTTTTACTGCCCGTAAGTAAACCCTATATTCATTTTAGCCCCGGGCCGAGGCCTTAAATTACGAGTTACGAGTAACGCTTTAATCCTCCCCTGATCCGGTGGTGTTTAGAGAGTACAGGAAAAATAGTAAAAACAATAATTCTTCATCAAAAACTGAAATCTTTGCAAAAAACTAGATTAGAAAGTCGGCAACACTGTTTTTCAATAACTGGCAAGGGGTGTCATTTTAAAAATATAATCTTTTGCCATATAAATGGTGGTATAATAATACAATAAAATAATATTTTCCTTATGATAAGTTCCCAACAGTACCTAACGTTTTTTAACCCCGTTCATCTGACATCACTGTTCCAACTAATGTTGGCATTTGACAATTATGGCTGATGGTGTTTGACAGTTAAATATTCTGATTTCTGTGCAGCTACACATTGCTTGAGCAAATTCTAGAATATTTCGGCAAAATTCTGGACTGTTTATTAGCGTCAGTGGTGCTTCAGCAGTAAAGTTTTTTAATTACCTACAGGTAAAGTAATTCAGATGCGACATTTTTTTACAATGTCATATAACATAAAATGAATACATTTATTGAATTATTTCCAATCGGGCATCTTAAAACCAATGTCTTGTTTGCAAATTAAAAAAATTGAATATTAATCTGAATGAATTCTGCTGTTATTTTCATCCCTTCTATTACTGTTGGAATCCGTACTTGTATCTAAGTCAAACAGATAATATAAACGCCTTTTAACCTTTAACAGATACCACCTAAAAGAAAAGAAAGAAAATTGTATAAAAAAATAGTAAAATAATATAAAAAAAGCAGCTGTTTTAATTTTTTTAAATATCCATTTATTCCAATACATTTATATGTAAAATAGTTGATTATTCATAATATCTAAGCACATCAAAGATCGAAGATTCACATGATTGGAAATGCTCGGAAGACTATTCGCAGATAACGTTTGTTACCAATAAATAATTTGCCATATTAAAACAATTACTTACAATTGTTAAATTCAAGTTCAATCAAAAACAAAATTACCTTTGTTCACCTAACGTAAGTAAATCAATTGTAAATGTAGTAGAATTGTATAATTCAATGTCAAGCACCTGGATTTTCAGTAGATCATATTGTTACAAGTTAAGTTAGTTTATTTGATAAAATATTAAATAATTTTGCTGGATAATGTTTATATTTATTATAATTGATTTCTGGAAAATATATTTTAAATTTAGTGCCAGTGTAATGTTATAAATGTTACTTCGTTAATGAAAAGGAACATCAATAGTCTAAGTCAAACTGTAAGCGAGTTTTATTGAAATAGCGACTGAACTAGCCTAGATTCGAGACAAGCTCTGAAGAGGCAATAGTAGGCCCATGAAAAATGGGATACTGATACAAAAATACGTGTGTGAATTGGCTAGAAATATTAGTCTTTTCGCAGAAAGTCAAATTTCTCGCGTTATGAAAAGAGTTTTTGATAGTCTCCAACAAGAAATATGTACACGATTTACTCGATTAAGTGACCATAATTTCGAATTTGGATTTCTACGAAACGTTGAAAATTGATTAAACAAGGATAATGTTGATAACGAATTTTATAATGCAGATTTCAATGGAATAGAACTCGAAATATGTGACTGCAAAATGTTACTCCGCTGTAGAAAAGAAATTGAACCTAAAACTCTGAACTAAAATAAATATAATATAATCATATTATCATTAAAAAAATGTATGTATATTCTTAGAGATAATAAATATTTACTTTTTTATTACTTTAAAACTAGGTATCTTGTGAACTAATTCCAGATGATCATAGGTATACATTTCCAAATCTAGTTTTGTTTTCTAAACTACATTTTTTGTCTCAAATTTAAAGTCTAGCTTGAGCCTATAACTTTATAACTTATTTTTACTTTATTTATTAATTAATTTGCGAGTATATTTTACATATAATACTAAGTATATGGTTTTCGAATGGGCGGGGGCGCTAAAAAGGTATTGTGCCCTCGGCGCGAGTTAAGCTCGCTACGCCACTGAGTATATTAACGTGTTTTGAAAAACTTGATAATCAAAAATAATCCAGCAAAATCTACAATAACACCACATTTCTAAGTCCTTTCAACTCTGCTTGATTGAAGATTTCTGTTGCGAGAATTGTTAATACATATTTCAATTATCTTTTAATAGTTACTTTGCAGGGAAATATTGGATTTTAGTAAGTTAGTATTCAAAACACTAAAAGTTTTGAACTAGGTATTATAATTTGAAAATTGCTAGTGCTTTCAATCAACATTGCATATTTCAAGAACACAACTTGTGTATAGGTATGGCTAAATGGGGAGAAGGTGATCCAAGATGGATTGTAGAAGAGCGACCTGATGCGACAAATGTTAATAATTGGCATTGGACTGAAAAAAACGCAAGCCCTTGGTCGGAAGAGCGCATAAAAGAACTTTTTAATAATATTGCAGGTATGTGAAGAATGGTTTCTTGTTTGTTTAGAACAAACCTCTGAGATAGGCTTTGTTATATTTGATCAAAGATTCAGTATTGCCAGGAACTTGGATAATGTCTTCCATTGAGTATTCTTTATGTATGAAAATTAATAGTTTCTAACTTAGTTTTTTATGAAAATAACTTCCCACCCTAGTTATCTAGTATGAGTTGGCATTCACATTAGCATTTTATTAGGATGTTGAAAAAGTGTAATCAAAAAACACAAATCATTTGCATTAGCTACACATTTTTTAATTTTCTTAGGACAGGCTTGCAATATTATATTGACTGACTGAATATACATATTTATATGATGTACTGCTCTTCAGTCAATAATTCATTTTACTCATTTATTAAAAATGCTTTCTTTAATAATGTTGTTTTTATTTGTTTTAGTTCAAACGAATATAGCGGATTTGAAAATTACGGGAATAGACAAATGCGAAGGAGAGGCATGCGCTAATAATCGGAAAGGAAAGTTGATATTTTTTTATGAATGGGACCTTGTTTTTAATTGGGAAGGAAAACTTAATGGTGGTTCGGGCATTAACCATTGCGGAACCATAAAAGTACCAAATTTGTCGGAGGAAAATGAAATGTCTGATTTAGATGTTAGTCACTTTTATATCTTAAGATGCCTTCTACTAATTCGAATTATTAAAATGCTGAAGTTAACTAATTATGCATGGCTTACTTTTCATATATATTTTTAGATTCAAGTCAACTTGAAAGATCCGGATGAAGAGGGTGAATTACTAAGACAGATTATGTTAAAAGAAGGCAAACTCTTGGTTCGCGATCAATTAGGCAAATATGTAGCAAGTCTTAAACAGGAATTTTCAAGAGGAATGATTCTTCCAAAGAAAGAAGATGTTAAGCCAGATCAGATTAAGAATTTGTCAAGCGGCTTCAACAAGAAAGTTAGCATGAGTCCTGTGGTTTCAAATGAGAAGAAAGTAGTGGGTCTCAAAATTGACACAACCTCGATTAACCAAACTCATAAGTTCCAATGCACAGCAGAAGATTTTTATAACGCTTTGACTCGAATTGAAATGGTTACGGCTTTTACCAGAGGACATGTTAAACTTGATGCAGCAAAAGGTGGCAAATTCGAACTGTTCGGAGGTAACATCACTGGGACTTTTGAAGAATTGGTCCCTAATAAGAAAATAGTAAAGCAATGGCGGTACAAACAATGGCCAGACGGACATCACTCATTAGTTACAATAACGATAGACCAAAAGGTAAGATTTCTGGTACCAAGACTTTTATTTAAATGAATGCAATATGTAATTGTGATAGTATATACAATTACTTCTGTATTAAAAGGATAATTCTCTGAAGTGTACTTTAGCAGAAATAATCGAACATATAGGCATTATAAATTTTGACAAAACTGCTTGACAAACTTAACAATTCCCATATAATCATGAAAACGTACAAATAAACTTGAAACGCAACATTTTTGGTTGCAGTTAATTATGTATAATTGCTTCTTTAATTTTTTGTAGAATGATCATACGGAAGTTATCCTATCTCAATCAGGAGTTCCGAGCGCTGAGGCTGAAGTAACCAGAAATAACTGGGACCGATATTATTGGCAAGCAATGAAACAAGCATTTGGATTTGGTGCTATATTTGGCGACATGTAATTTACTTACATTTAAAACTCTAGACAAAGCTGGTCGCATTGAGTAAGTCGTAAAGATGCAGCTGCATCATCGTGAAACTAATACTGAACTTTTTTCGTATTCGAAAAGAAATTGCATATTCGCACTCTTATTGAAGAATTTACCGTTTTTGCTCTATTTATTGGTTTCTAGGTAAAATAATAATAAAACAGTTTTTCTTTATTTTGTCGTAATTCAATTATATTATGTTGAGAACTGGTAGAAAGCCTATAGTGTTTAATATATTCGTCTTATAAAATTGTTTGTCTATTTCTATTGAATGATGCTTTCTGAGTGAAGTTTTGAAGAGATCCTGTTCAAGCTTGGCGCATACCTACACTTTTCCAGTCAAACAAATATATGAAACATACATTTGAGCAGTAAAATAGCCAGGAAGGGATGCACTAAAGAATTCATTACTTCGTACTATAATTAGTGGCTGGGGCATTTGCTAGATTATTTATGTCCAATTGTGCTCTCGATAATCAGGGAGAATCATTCACACCTTCATTACACCTGGATATTTAATGAAATTCAGAGGAATTTGCAAGGAACATCGCCTTGATTGCTTGATTTGTTTTTTGTCTAAGGTGCTCCTTGAACATACCTTTTTGTTCATGTTTCCTGTAACATGCACCACTATATGCCGCTCTTATGATACACTGTCAGAAAGTTTTCAAATACGTTTTGTTTTGTTGTTTATTTTTATATGTTCTTTCGTTCGGTACATTGATCAAAAGTATGGCTTTTTGCTTCACATCACTTACGATTTCGGCCGTTGGGAATTAAGGGGTAAATGTCAAATTAACAAAAAGGTCATGATTTGATAGAGAATATTTCTCTGCTCGCACCAATCACAGCGTTATAATTCACGCGATTTTTATGAAACTGCGTTTTTGCGATCATGTTAGTTTTTCTGAGCGCCACTATTAATAGTCACGATATTTGGACCATTGCTCAACTTTGGCAAGTTGCAGATTAAGATTTTTGAATTAATTAATTACCTCGAAAACTTTGCAATAAAAATTATTGTTAAGACACGGCCAGTCTTGCTAGTTGATTGCATTAAAATTCAAATATTCAAGAACAGTATACTTGATAGGAGAATGCAGCAAGAGCATGCATGATAACGGTTTTCTTCAAATCGAAACCTGAAATAAACCAGTAAAGACCGTATTTGTTAAAATTATCAACAGAACAAACAGAAAGATCAACAGTGTTAAAGAATACGTAATTAAATTGAGTATAATATTTTTATTATTTAAATATTTCTTTCAGTCTTAAATTATTATCGGTTCATATAAGTGTATGAACATGTTATTCATATTAAAAGTGTATACGGAAAGGTAAGTAAATCGAAATATGTCTGATGCTGTATAAATATAATTACTTTTACAAACGTTAGTTTTCATATAGGTGGAAGAGCAAATCAAATAAAGTAGACTTTCATTAAAAAAACTTTGCTCTCTAATTTCCTAATTTTTCTGGATGATTGACTTTGAAAAAAACTGTTTTATTTATGATAATTTTGAGCCAATTTCTTTAATTTTCCTCCAATTTTGTAAACATCGTACTGCAATAGATAGTTCATACCTAATGATTCGAACAGTTTTTTATTGGAGATCAGTAGCGCGTAAACTCGGGGATCTTCCGTTTTTTGCTCCCACTTGTAACGCCACAACAAACATATTTTAATATAATACAAATATTTTTAATATCTCATCAGTTCTAAGAAAAAACTGCTCTTAGGGCTCTAATTTTGTAAGAAATCAACATTCTTATGTCATAACATAATAATTTGTCATTATATTTACAGAGTAAGGTGGGCCCATACTAGCTGCATCTATACCTCATTATTCAAAATAGATTCTAGAAATATCAATCAAAATATTATTTTCTACTATTTTTGTATATTCGTTTTAATTTTCTTAGCAGCACGTCAATTAAGAACCTTCAATTAGGAAACATTTTATTTATATTTTATTATAATTTCAAATGGTCTGATGTTCACTTCTGATAAGACTTTAGCAACTAATCTTTAAAGTGTATTTAGACTTTGATGCCAAAGAAGAAATTTTCTGTTCAACGAACTGTAATTTTTTTATTGCTTTTTGCTATTCTTTTTAATTATATTTAATTCTTTACTTCTTGAAACAACTGTTTTATTAAACGAAGCATCATGTGATTTTTTAAACTTTTATACTGTTTTATTTTGTTTAATATTTTATGACACACCTTTTCACTTTATTTTTTTAATTTTTGCCGTATGATACAGTTTTGTCAAACACATCGAATACAAGACAAGACAGAAGAAAACACGAAGACATTTAATGTTTTGTGATAATCACGCCGATGTGACGCTGCGAAATTACTGACCGACTTACATTACATGTCTTTTTTACGTAATTATCACGTCCGCTGAATTTTGGGTTATTGAATTAGACGTTATTCAATGCAGACTACAATCATTGTGATTATCCAATAGTTTACCATCGTCCAAAATCGGCTACTATGTTGGTTCACAGATCGCGGCAATGTAGATTTTGCCAATTTGTCTGTTATCTGTGGTTGTTGTCACAGATAACAGACAACCTCTGTGATCTGTGGTTGTTGTCACAAACACATAAAGAAAGGTTATGCGATGTTTTGAAAATTCTGTGAAAATTAGGCAATAGTAAAATGTATTTTCTTGCTATTCTCAGATTTATTGAATAAATTGGTGTTGTTTGCTAGCCTTTAATCCTGAATAGGAAATGAACTGAATGTTCATATCTACTTCAATGGATATTTTATATATTCTTCTACTAATAGCTGGCGGCTACTGCATTCTGTTGTTCTTCGATTTCTTCTTCAAGGTAATATGTTTTAAAAAGTATCTTCGGTATTTGCATCGAACTGTTTCAGTCGTGCGCTCATTATCCCTACTTGCACCTGTTAGATGGTCTAGGCCTGAAAATTAGCTACTTTAGCATCAACTGGAAAACCAAGGCCCTAAACCGACTGATTATTAAATGGGGTAACACGAAACCATTATTTTGGCGAACGTGGTTCGACATTGGAATAATTTCTAGTCTACTGTTTTTTCCTATAACTTTGTATCTTTTAGTTGTAAACATTCTAGATTTATTCTTAAGCAGTTCTACTACAGCACAGCCATTGATAACACCGATTATTCCGGGGGTGAATTTGCCGGTATCTGAAGTAGGATATTATGGTATTACCTTGTTAATATGCACTGTAGTTCATGAGTTTGGACATGCTTTTGCTGCTACTTTGGAAGATGTAGGCGTTCTAGAATTTGGATGTAATATCTACTTTATCATACCGGTAGCTTATGTTAGTCTCAATTCAGAAAATTTACCTGCAATTAAACTGAGACAGCAGTTGAGAATTTTTACTGCGGGGATTTGGCATAACATTGTTTTGGCCTGTGTTGTCTATCTGTTATACTGCTCGCTGCCTAGTATATTTTCTACATTTTTCGAGTATGGAAATGGCGTGAGTGTTTCAAAGATAATGCCACATTCACCTTTGCGCGATCCTTCCAAAGGTTTGTCTGAAGGTGATGTGATTACAGCCATAAATAACTGCGATATAAGAGATGAAAACGATTGGTATAATTGCTTGAGTAATACAATCATATTGATCCCCGCAGTATGTATTCAATCTGATTTTGTCCACACGAGGGATGAGAGTGTACCTTTAAAACATTTAGGAGCTGGTTTTGTAGAGTGTTGTGACCCCAAAAACACGAAAAATCTTTGCTTTGAGTTCATAGATACTGAAAACAACGAACTGGCTTTGCCAGGACATGTTTGTTTGCCGGGTCGCATAACCATGGAACATTCCATCGTTTTTTGCACCGAAAGTCCTCATTCGTGTTCAAGCGATATGTATTGTTTTAAACCGATTTTGCCTAATAATACATACTTGCTTAAAATGATTTCTAAAACGAAAAATGTCATTTATATAGGCCATCCAACTGATTTGTTTCAAACAATTGAAATCTCATCATATATCAGCAAGACTAATATATTCTCGATCCAGCTACCCAACATAGTCACTAAACTAGTAAAATACATTGTAATTATATCGTTAGGTCTGGCATTTTTGAATATTCAGCCGGTCAAATCGATGGATGGTCAGTATATACTAAGTGCATTAGGGCTTCTGATATTTAAAAATAAATTTAGTAATAGACAAATAATACAAACTTCGAATGTGATTACATGGATAACTACCATCCTTTTGACAACTTATCTGATATATTCATTCATTTTAATGTTATGATAAAATTTATTATTCGAATTAGTCTGTCTCTAGCGTTATGTTTCAGTCTGTGATAATTCAATGCACCTATAATCTGTATTGTGTAAACTTACATGTTTGGCCATTAATGCGACTTTACTGGACAGGCAAAGTTCTTAATTAACATCGAAATGAAGCTTTTGAACCGCTTCTATTATATTACTTCTTGACTTTAAAGTTGATTTACTTATGTACGTGTTCACTCTTTAAAGCTTGCGATTCATTGCTGAGAGGTTTATTCTTGATCTCAGCAGCTTTGTCACTGATAATGGCCTACTAGTAATATATATTACTAGTTTATTGATTTTGTTTTTTTCTTCGTAACACGTTTTGATACCTACACATTGTTACAATATAAATGCCTATAACCGTCTTTAGACCCTGTTGTATCCACAAATTTCGAGCTAAAAAATTAACTTTTTAATAGTTTTGTATAATAAACAGTTACGATGTATTTCTCAGTTTATTTGAAAAGAAATTAATTAAGGTGGAACGGGCTGCCGGATAGGTACCCTATTTTTTGTGTTATTATCTTTTTATATTTGTTGTATATACCTGTAACAACCTAACATATTAACGGCAATATCCCAGACCTATAAATCACATAAGTAGTATTTTACATAAGTTGTGAGTTGCTCATATCACATATTGAGCGAGTTCTCTTGTTGCCTACTTCAATTTAAGCGCTCGCGTGGCACATAAATATTTTTCAACAGCCAGTTTTCTCCTATTACAAAATGTCTTTTTCAGAATGAAACTGTATAGATTTTCCTCCCTTTCTTCCTGAGATTCCACAAAGACAAGTGGCATATGAATTCAAATGTTTTTTGGCTTCAAAGGATAAGCTGGGACAGACTTGTTCTGTTTCGAGTGACGTGAGATTCATTTTTATTTTAGATCTAGCTAAATATAAGAAAAAAAGTTAGATAATCGCTGATTTTGTTTGGCAAGTACTGGAAGTCATATCTTGTTCAGTGACATTGGTTTTTTTTCTGCTGAATTTTGTACTGGGTTTGTAGATTCTAATGACTATCGCTAGTTTGCTGAGGGCATGTTCCGCCAGTGCCGATTTTCCTGAATGAATTCCGATGAATTCCTGCAGTTGTGAGTAAACGTGCTTTGCCTTTAACCGACCTTAGTTAGCCTTGAGACTAAGTTTTATAGTTCTTTTCCCTTAGTTATAGAGGTTTAAGATTCTGTCCATCACTCTTGTGGTCAAAATGCTTCTTTTTATTTAGGTCTTATTCCAATACTCTGATTTAATACCTTTCTTGATCTCGATCTGGGAATATTCGGCTGAAGGAAAGGCTTCTTCTTCTAGGTGTTTTACTTTTGCGTGTTGTGGTCATCCGATTTTTCATCAGCAAAAAGGCATTATTTAACACGTTAACCTACATTCTAAGAATATTCTACGGCACGTCCTGCCTATGCTCGTAAGGCATATTATATAATTATATCCTGGGTAATGTACTTTTGGGAAAACATTCCTTTCTCTACCTATGCTATTCGGCACGGAATTAAATATTCGAATGAGGACATGGATAGATGTTAAAGATATAGGTGTACCAACCTCATTTTGCTTGTGAAAGGAAAATAAAGCTTTATTTTCAGTTTTCGAAAGCTTCTCAGTAGAATGGGTTGGCACGTCTTCCAGTACCGATCACACAGTTAACTTATGATGAGTGATGAGACAATTTTTACATATATCATAAGTTGTGCTTAGAACCTTATTGAGAACATGAGCTGATTTTATCAGAAAAAGTTGATATGGACATGGGGTCAAAGTGCTTCGTTTCCGATCTACAGCATGTTAAAGTTTGCAAAATTTTGCATTTTTTATTTATTAATTTCCAAACCATGCCATTTGCTCTAATTAAGGGCCAAAACTTTATTAAAAACTTGAAGTTAATTCAACATTATTTTTAAACAAAAAGCGGCATGACCCTGTAAAAAATGAATATGAACAGTTTATTAAACGTACAATTTAACTGTTGATAAAAGTTATATCTAATGTTTTTCAATGCTTGCGTCCGTTTACTCACAAATTGCGATTGTCTTAGGCAGTTCTTTTGATAAAAATATGACGAAGAGCGCATAAAACCAGGTGTGCCATTAAACTGTGACAATAATAAAATAAATTTAAATATATACCTGCTAGTAGAGCAATTGTCGAAAATGAACACCCGGTCCCGAAATACAGAATTCAGCTTTTCTTGGAAATTTTCCCAAAAACTAAGACTCTGTAGATAGGAAACGAAGCATTTTGACCCCACTTTCAAATTAACTTTTTCCCATAAAATCAGCTCAGAAATACGCCTTTCAAATTTTTGCATTTGATAATGAAACATCTTGTATAATATTGTACTGGATTTGCAGTGATAGTGGTGATCTCCATCTAGTTTCGTTTTTTTTCTAATTTTACTTCTAAGTCACTAATTTTGTTGCAACTTAAAGTAAGTACACTTGAAATAATGTCGACAGTTAGAACAAAACCAGTGCAAAAACCCTTATAAAACTTCATAAACATTTACTTGTTTCGAAGAGTACTTTGAGTTACAAAAAATATTCGCAAATCTTCAAATTGTTTAAAGTTTCTAAGGTACTTGAATGTTTTAGATGAAATGTGGATCTGGACTTATGTTCCCAAGTCTTCAAAATCTTTTTATTTTATTATTTTCGTTTATTGGACTCTATACGTTGTTGTCGAACATCCTGTATATGAAAAACCACTCCATATGACTTATTATTTGCATTTCTTAGTTTTCATTGGCTAAATTGACTCGTCGTGACTAGACCTATTTGGCTAAACCTACACTGTTTTCCAATTGACGTAAAGATCTTTTTCCATATTGCAAGTACATTTTAATCACTATTTCATCAGTATGTTGAGCGTTTTGTCTAAATTCCGTTCTAGTCCATTCCTTTAACTCTAACTGATAGCTTTTGTCTGGCACTTCTTTTATTGCTCGAAACAACTGCCTATACAAATTTTTTACTTCTTGTTTTAACATGAACTGAAAACCATCCGTAAGACTATGCATTACAATTTGAAAAGTTGGATTACCTGTTGTAGGCTTAGAATTGGCTTAGCATTCTTGGCCATGTTAACTAAGTGAGGTATACAGTATGAGTTCTTTTGATGTCAGTTAATAGTGAGCTCGATTTAGTCTATTGTGTAATATATTTTGCAGCTGAATATACTTTAATAGAAAGGGAATTTATTTCAAACAAACAAGCCAGATTTTCTTCAAAATAGTAGGGTTATATTCTTTTAACCTACGTTTTGAAGATTAGTAAAACCACAGAACATACCTTCTATTTTGTGCTAAAAACTGTCTGTCTACAGCTCACGTGAGGAATCTCTTGGTTCAGACTCTTTTCGAGTTGAATCATTATTAACAATTGAGCTGAGGACATGCAGATAATAAAATAAGATGAGCAATTTCAACAACACAGCAAACAGTATCTATAGTGGAGTCGCATCAGGTGAAGTGGGATATGTGCAGCCCCAATGGTTCGCTGCTATAAAAAAATAAGCGAAAGTTGCAAAGGCTACACTAAGAACATCTTGGAGGAGATAAGACGAGGGAGTATTCGCACCAAAACAGCTTCCAGATTGTATTAAATGCCTCCAACGACATTTCGTGATCACTTTAACGAAGCGAAGAGTTTCAAGAGCTGTTAGTACAGTTGAGTATCGACCATTCCTAACTATGAAGAGATCGGTTGGGACAAGAATAGACAATACGGACTGCGCCCGAGGAATCGCATCAGAACAGTGTAAGGGCTCAAGAAAATCATCTCTAAAGATGCAAACCACTCGTGCTTGCGAAACGTCAGGAAGAAATTCCATTTTACGACGGCCAAAAAACCCGAAAAACTAACTAGTTTCAAGGAATGGCCTAGAAAGTCTATCTCTTTTGATAATAGATAACATAAAGAGACTGATGAGGTCCGTGTTTATCCGTCCGTGCCCATTGGGTAGGCTGATCAAAAGTTTACGCGATCTCGCCCCAATAATATCAAAATTTCTTCAATGGCAAAATAGAAGGTAAATTCGCACTTGCATCAATTTTACAATTTTAATGTGACCAGTGCACACCTCAGCGATAAAAAAATGTGCAAAATTTCTTTACATTTGTATGTTGTGTTCTTCTATAAGCGGCAACAGTTAATGCACTTGCCACTGTATCGGCCGATTAATATTCAAGTGTCGAATACTTCAAGTTTTGGTACAAATTTGTATTCTTCGAAAATCGGGAGGATTTTTCTCAATTTCCTTTACATCGATTTACGTTAAAACTCCCGCTGCTCTTTAAATATCATTCAAACGAATGCATAAACTAGAAGTAATATCAAGGAAAAATCAACTCAATTAGATAACCACTTGTCTGGCATGTCTTGCAAGAGGACAGTTTAGTGCAAAAAACAGATTTATCAGAACCTGAACTACTACAGATATAATACATATAATACGTAGTATTACTGAACAAAAGAAACATCATCCGCAACAGTAAAAGAAACCCCTTAAACATAAACAGCCTAAACAGTAGAATACTGAAACAGTCGTAAGATTAATTATCTCTGAGCTACGCACAACAAAGGTGAAAAATGTACTTACCACCTATACATACCAGCAGCAACTGACATAAAACCAATAAAATTGCCTATCAATAAAAACAGTAAAGCCAGACCCAGATTAAATTCTGTATGTAACGACATATTAAATAGATGTGATGGTCCTTAGGAAGGTGATAAACGCAAAAACCCAGGAAGAAATCGATTGATCACAGAAGTTATAAGCAATCTAGGGCAACCGCTGAATGTATTTTGTTCAAAAAGGTCCAAACGTTTGTTATTTTTACACATTTCGTACACAAAGAAAGCAAAACTACCTAGTTGCAGTACGTGATTAAGACCAGGCACAAAGCCTGTATTTTCGATCACTTACCAAACTTATCTCTCCGTATTGAATTAATCATCGATTTCTTTACATCTGTCCTCGGTTCTGATTCTGAGCTCTTTTGCAAATTGTCCAACAGGTTATGTTCCGTGCAGTAAAAACATGTTTAAATTGTTTTAGAGCATATAAACCAAATATTTTACCGACTGTTGAGGTGTTTTCAACTGATGAATAATAGAAAGGTGAAATTAGATCTTCCCCTGTTAGTATTTTCTAAAGTAAACGCCCAATTGATAAGCGCTTCTCAAATGTAAATCCTGTGTATCCCCGAAAGTAGATATCGCAAATTTTGAAGCGCCCTCTATTCTGATTTGCATTAATGTCAATAAGAAATCAACATATTTCGTTAGGCTCAACAGTGGTTCATTTATTCAAGAAGTTGTCTGAAAAATATAATGTTTCTCATTATGACAACATTATGAAAAAATAGTATATTACGGTACAAGAGACGAAAGTCGAAGTCCCGACACTGCTTGAACTCATGCACGCAGTGGCGGGCCTTGAACTTTCGGCTCGCGTACCGTACAGGTACTATTTTTCTTGATCTTTAGTGGAAACAAGCCGGAAAAAGTATAAGGTTTTGAAATAACGGCTTTGAACACTTCAAAACAGTCAGCTGACAGTCAGTGACAAACAGTCAAGCCGTCAGCGTGCGTGGCGAAAGTTATTACTTTCCACACGGGATAAAGAAAATTTGTAATGGGTAAAAGTGATGCTTTTGCCATCGAAAACAGTGGCGAAAGTAGTCCTCTCCACCAGGGGATCAAGAAAATAGAACATTCCGCATTCCAATACATTTACGGTTTACGAATATACATATTCGACAACTTTCGATCAAACAGCTTGTGCCATTAAAAGTCAAATATTCTTCTAGTCACAAGTAGATAGTTTAACGTACGATGAGTTCTTATGAATCAGTTAACTAACGAGCGGTTTAAATTGGAGACACCTCGCATAATTTTAAAAATAGTTTTTGTTTTAAGCAAATTGTTCTACTAGTCTGTGGTGTTCTACGCAGTAATTTTTTTTCTCGCATTACGCATCTAAAGCAAGCAACTACCTGTAGATCAATTATAGACCTACTGGAATCTCCGGATTGAGTTTCTGTCGGTAAGCAGAATCGCTTGTAAACTGGTCTGGATATATTTGTGTTCCATAAGTTATCCTGCTGCGAATAATTTCAGAGGTCTAATCAGCTACAGTCAATCCAACTTGCGCGATAGATATTTAAAGCTGCTGCTGGCGGGAAGGCTGACTTTACGCCGTAGACGAAAATAATCACAACGCTCCTACACTCGGCTCGAGTGACCAGACAACAAAATTTTCATTTTCATTTTTTCGTGCGTAGTTTTCCTCGAAAGTTTTAAAATGTAATATACGAGTTACTAACATTTTGTCCGTTCGATTTGTGGGTACTTTGGTGACGTTTGCCGCGCTCCTCGCTAAAGAAACGATTTTTAAACTTTTTTAATGGAAAAAGCTCCGAACAATGAAGTATCTATTACAAAGGTACCGGCGAAGAAGACAGATGATATCAAGGTAAGACTTTGTGCCTATATTCATTGTTTTGTTTTATAATTATTTATCAACTTAATTTTTCTTCTTTATACAATTAACACTGGTTGTTTTCTTGGGTAGGCAATAATTAATTATTTTTTAAGGGTTTGTTTATTTATTATTAAACCAACGTAACCTGACGTCGAAATAGCAAAAAGCACTAGCGAGCTCGGTATCCTAACTTGGATGTGTAATATAATCAGGTAAAATGATCGGGGGGATCGAGTAACAGATGGCGTGCAAGCGATATCTATCAGCAGACCTCGTAAATACGGGATATTTTATACCCTTCATCTCGCTATTTTCAGTGTTTAACTATTCCCGTTAAAATAAGTGTTTTATTGTGTAATCAGAGTAAAGGCATTACTGGACCTTATAAAAGTACCTCTGGATTTTTTAGGTAATAAGATGCCATGCCCTGATTTATTTCCGCGTTGTCTCCGAACAATTCATATGACCAAACAATTTTTTAAATTCACTGTTTCCTTTAAGTAAAAAATGAGTAACAGAGTTCAGTGTTGCCAGATACTTTCAATTTGCACGTTGGTACAAAATACATTTTTTCAAATAATTATAAATACCTACAAAATAAAAGCAAAAATACATGAGGTACTACGAATACTTTACAATAATTTATGTATGTACAAAAGGAAATTAAGAATTTAAAGTCTTCTTGATGAATTGAAAAGTCGCTTCCTCATTGGGATTTATGTGGTTCAAAGCAATTTTATCTTCTAGACAAACATTTTGCATTGGTGATAGATTATTTTGTGACATTATTATTTTATGTTAGGTGAAATAAACAAAAATATATTAAGTCGGGGATACGTTTTAATGTACAATTCCAATTGGAATTAGATGTTTGGTCCAGTTATGTTCTTATGACTATCAGAGATGGAAAAATTAAAGAAGGGGAATTGTTGGGAAGTTAAAATTTCATGGCCACGGAAAAAGCAATATTGAAAACAGAATTAGATTTTATTTAAATATTAAAAACTTTTATTTACAAAACGTTCAGCTGGAATTTTTTGAATTAAAATACCGTTTAATTCGAAAACATTTTTGGAATTCTTTTTTTTTCTGAATTTTAGTATTATTTTTTCATTCTATTATTTTTTAACATTTTCGATCAATACGATTCGTTTGTTTTGTGGCATCATCAAAATCAACTTATTTCTTTGGGTGACTAATATTTTTTACATTTAATAATGTATGATAATGATTTGAAACTGAGCAACTCTCTGATTGGCCAACGGCTATTTGAGATTACACAACATTTTCTAATGGTAATAAGAAGTCAAAATACACCAAAGCGTAAAAATCCAATCTGTATTACAACGTTTAACAACGCATAATTATTCTAATTCTGTGTCGCAACTAATAGCTCTGAAAATATCAGTGTATGTAGGTTTGAACTATACAGTAGATAGTTTGTTAAAACTCTGTCACATAGGACTTGTTTCAGAATTCACAAGTAAGAGTAAACAGAATAAATTCAATAAAAATTATAGCTATTTATCAAGGAGTGGAACTAAACAGTAATGCATTCAAGATGGATTTAAATTAAAGGATTTTAAACTTAAATCCTTTCTAAAGGTTTTAAATTAACGTTGTATTATTTCAATGCATCAAGTTACTTCATTTTATTATACATGTGATATGAAATTACATGGAAGCCTTAAGTGCTACAATTTAATAGCGCAATTTTGTTCTGAATGAAATTGTTCTTATGGAATTTAAAACATGCACAATTATTTGGGCCTAAAACTGATGATCAACTGAAAATAGATTTAGTATTATATGTCTACGATGCTGGGCGATTGTTTTTGCACCAACGTTCTTGCTATATTTTAGTCAACATCAGAGTTCTTAGACTTGGATTTAAGATTTTGGCGTGACACAATTGTATAAAATGGCAATTCAATAAAAATAATAACATTATTACTACTATTTCTATTGCTAGAAAATGTAATACATACAGTTAAAAATTAAGGGAAGAAGGCCGAATATTTTTTATGGAGTGGGGAAGCAACGCCAAGTAGCACCCCAAAGTCTAAAGATTCTATTTGCCGTTCTAAAGCCCTAATGATATCTAAAATATGACCGAAACGTTGGTTTAAGAAAAACGGTTTGTGAGTAACCTCAGACATCTCAGTAATACTAGACAACACTAATAAATATAATAATATTAAACTTTTCTACGGATTTACCAGATTCTGATATTAACTTAATAATTGAAATAATTGTCCGTTTTTTAATTTTGTTAAATTTTTGGAAATATGATTGCATTACGTTTATAAAAAAGGCGAATTAGGCATTTGAACAACTTACCATTTGCCATGAAAGCTCGATCTGTTGGAGTTGAATCTTGTATTTGTTAGCGACTTATTTCATTTCCCTTTTTAATCTTTTAATATACAGATAATTTAATAGCATTTAAAAATTCACATCTAAATCAATTAAATTGACCACTAAAGATGAAACGTAAATTTGATCATGTTCATAATTTTCAAACTAATACCAGAAAAAACACGATTCATGAAATAACTCTTTTAATCCGTATGTGTACTCCGTATAACTTGTAGTTCTTGGATTGAACAAACCTTTGACATTGAATCTACAATATTGTTCACATTAAGTAGACAATATTTCTTACTTTAAATAATAATTCGACTACTCATATAAATATTACTGAGTTTGTTAAATCTAACTCATAACTTTTGCGGATGAATTTTTTCAATTAGAGCGTATTTCAATTTTATATCCAAATCCGGACTTCCTAGTTTACTAACAATTAAAGGCGTATATATAATACGATTTATATTATTAATAAAAATTATTTTAGTTAAAAAATATGCTATAAGACTTATAAGAGTCCAAGCCGAGTCACTGAAAAGTGTATACACTTTCACAAAATAATAGAAACGAACAAACTAGCAAAAAACTGGTAAGTTCTTTCGGCTTTTAGACCATTGTAAAATAGCTTTTTTCCTGACGTTTTGCTAGCACGAGTGGCTTGCATCTTCGGATGTGTTTTGCTCGAAAGATTACACTGGGAAATTCTATTTTATCACGGCCTAAAAACCTGACAAACTTACCAATTTTTTTATGCCAGAGTTTAGATTAATCTTTGTTCTCGTTTGTTCAGTGTTTTTATTATTTTAAGAATCTGTATACTCAATAATGATTCTTTAACAAATTAACAAAGTGTTATCTATAAAAGCAGGCTTTCCCGGGTATTTTATGAAACTGGTGAGTTTTTTTCGTTTTTAGGTCGTTGTGAATTATAATTTTTTTCTCATGTTTTGCAAGTACGAGTATCTTCCATCTTCAGCGGTGACTTGTTCGAAACCCAGTAGTAGACTAGTCAAAGTAAACTCATCAGTACAGTGTAAGCTTTCGAGCRAAACACGTCCGAGTTCGAYATAACGAGTTCCAAAGTCGAGTAAAACGTTTTAATGTGTGTTTCTAAACGTATCCACTTTCTCACAATAAYAACGGCRAACGAACTAAGTTGCACAAAAACGAGCAAGTCACTCGTGCTTGCCACACAAAAAATTTTCAAATGTCGAAAAACCCGAATAACTTGATAGTTTTCRTGTAACTTAGTTTGTATTTATTATTTTGAGAAAGTKGATACGCTTAGAAACACACAATAAAACGTTTTACTGGACTTTGGAACTCTTATAGTATAAGTTTTAAATTAAATATTTATAACAATCTGATTGCTAATCCTGATGAATCAGTACCTAATAATTGTCCCGAGTCGAAGGGATTATTCACTAGCAGGCTTTATTTCTTCTATCAAATTCATACACTAATCCTATTATCTATACACAAGCCTTTTTTTGCATTAACAGAAGCTACGCAAGTTCGAAGCGTTTTATGCTCTGGGGTGTTCTAACCTGGTGTGTCGATTATCTATACAATGAAGTAAAATTGAAAGATTGGGTTTCCACTATCACAGAAAACAAAGGGCAATGTATTAGATGCTTAAGCGTGGGGCAAATTTTTTTGAAAAAACATTACAAGAAACTGTACGTACAAGTAGTACTGTTGCATCAGGTTTTAACAATTAATGTGCCCAGTATTGTAAACGCCCAAATATTAAATTATAAATTTTGGTGTCTGTTATGACTTTGCATGGTACTTTTTTAGTTTGCCAAATCTTATTTTGTAGCACCATTTTCTTGATTGATGCTTATATGATTGATATCTTAAAAATTAAGATTTAGTAAGTGCTAATAAAAGCCTATGTCAGAAATAACATATTTGTTACTCACTAACCGTACGCAAATACTTATATCGAGACAATTGATATTAGTAACAAATGCAGACAATTAGTAACGTTTCTATTAGATTTATCGACAATAATAAATTTGCCAACCAGTTAACGATCCATTGTGCAGGTTCGTATTGTTCATTAATACTAATGCCATTTTATCGCATAAAGTGATACTACTGACTAAGTTCGGAAAATAGACATGGCATTGTAAGAGAACATTGAGAAATGCAAGAAATTAATAACATGGATTCATTTTATTCAAACTTGGTATATTGGAAGAATTAATATATACTTTGGTTAGTTAACGACACAGGCGTTATCGCGGATTATTTCACGTGTTTATCTTAAATAAGTTAATTAACTTAACTCTTTCTTTCACATTTATACAGCTGTTTAGGTATCTATATGTATTCAGGTGGTTATACTCTATATATTCTAAATTAATTAGATAACTTGCATTATACTGCATCTAGGATAGAAAGAACTGTTGTTTATTTATTAGTTCTATATACCTTATTAGAATGTTATAGATAAACCCCTAGTCAACAGTATTGCTTTTATTTTGTGCAATGTTTATGCAATTAATTGACTGAACTATTTTGATGTTAAACTTATCATTACCAGCAGGACCAGTAGCGTTTTCTTGTGTCTGTGCGTTTATTGCCGGAATTATTTCTTCTTTGGTTATTTTTACATA